AAAATCTCAATATTCCCCAGCGGAGTATATAGATGTTCCTAAGCAAGCATCCCCGACAGTCTTGATCTAAGATTGTTTCCCGGCGGAATACCAAACACCCTTGTGGAGCCACTCCCCAGTCTCCCCAGGAAAGTTGAATCAATCTCCCCAGTAGGAAGCTTATCCATAGTAGATTCTGGAAGCTTATCCCCTGCAGAGTACGAACGCGTCTCCCCGGCTCTATTCAAAGGTTATTCCCCACCAGATCTTATAACTGGGTTATCCTCATCTAATTACCACGGAAAGATCGTCCTCGACGAAGTTCTCCCTATCCCCAGCGGAGTTCATCAAATTCCTCAACATAACTTCTCAATGGAATCCCCAGCAAAGTTATCACCAAATCTCAGCGAAGTATCTCTTCCCACAGAGTAATTCCCCGCAGAGTAATCTCTTCAACAAGTTTATTCCCCAACGGAGTCGTCTTCTCCTACCGGTTTATTCTTGTAATCATCATCCCCAGCGGAAACGAAGAACTCTATTCTTCAACATCAGCCCAGGATTCAACTTCCCGGCATGCGTCAAGGATTTACTTTCCCAGACGAAGATACATTCATAAACATCACATCATGCATATGCGCATCATGTCATACAATCTCATTTATGTCAAGAACATCATTGCTTGATCCATATCATGCATTGCATACGACTGACCTTTACCTTTCAGGAAGGATACAGTTAAATAATCAGCTATGTCGAAGTAGACAAATACAGTCAAAAGAGACCAATCCAGTCAAAAAAGATAAATCCAGTCAAAAAAGACAAATCCAATCAAAGAAGACAAATCCAGTCAAAGAAGACAAGTCTAGTTAAATCCCAAAGGTTTTTCTGATGCTCATCCAGTCAAAGAAGACAGGTCCAGTTAAATTACTTCCTAAAGTCAAAGAAGACAATCCTTCATTATAGACACCCGTCATTATAGACAACTCGTCATTTAAGACAACTCGTCATTGAAGACAACTCATCATTGAAGACAACTCATCATTGAAGACAACTCGTCATTGAAGACAACTCGTCATTGAAGACAACTCGTCATTGAAGACAATCCGTCATTATAGACACCCGTCATTATAGACAACTCGTCATTGAAGACAACTCGTCATTGAAGACAACTCGTCATTGAAGACAACTCGTCATTTAAGACAACTCGTCATTGAAGACAACTCGTCGTTATAGACACCCGTCATTATAGACAACTCGTCATTTAAGACAACCCGTCAGTATAGACACCTATCATTGAAGACATCTCGTCATTAGGGACTACTCGTCATTGAAGACAACCCGTCATTGAAGACAACTCGTCATTGAAGACAACTCGTCATTGAAGACAACTCGTCATTTAAGATAACCCGTCAGTATAGACATCTGTCATTGAAGACATCTCGTCATTGAAGACAACTCGTCATTGAAGACAAATCGTCATTTAAGACAACTCGTCATTTAAGACAACTCATCATTGAAGACAACTCGTCATTGAAGACAACCCGTCCATGAAGACAACCCGTCCAAAGAGACAACTCGTCAAGAAAGACAAAACCTCCTCTGGTTTAGTTAAATCCTAAAGATTTTTCTGAGATAACCTGTCAGTAGAGACAACCCATCAACCTTTTGAAGTTCCAGATTCGATACCTGTATCTAGCCAGGGCATGTCTGTGAGCGACTGAGGGAAGATCAACACCTGTAACAGGCCAGGAAACCATCTTCCTTTCTCAAAGTACGCAAGTTCTCGCTAAGGAATCTCTTACGCGATCGACACCTCCGGATGGCATCTTTAAGCCCATCTCCACAACTATCCATTACAGTTCCAAATGGCATCTATAAGCCCATTCCCGGAAAGGTTCTGTCACACTTTCAGATGGCATCTATAAGCCCATCCTCCTATCCACCATCTCTCTAAATGGCATCAGTAAGCCCATTCCCACCATCACACTGCTGATACTCAACTATGTGAGTGCAAATTTCTGGGCACTCTAGTGTTCAATCATCTTCCACCCTCGGATCACGAAAGGCACACAAGCCAATCTACATCCTCAGGTCTAATAAGATTGAACAGGGGCAACTTTTGTACCCCAAAATTTGCCCTCCCATATTCTTCAAAGTTTTGACAAGCATCACCTCAAATTGCTCAAGTCTACTCAAGGGCTACACAGTCAACCACTCTCCTAAAGCTAGTCAAAATTAGGGTTTTGTTTCTTGCAAGGAAGTTGAGGTTTTCAAGGGCTCAATCAAGTCACATATGCCTATATACATTGTCAAGCATCCATATTCCAAGTTTCAAGGCTCACAAGGTCAAGTTGCACAGTCAAAAACCCTAATTGCTTCACAGTCAATTGTAGGGGCAAAGTGGTCATTTGGCAGTCAAAAGTCAAAATTTTTGGTCAACATCTTATTTTGAAACCACAATCATCATTTTATCAAGTCTTGATCATGATTTCACAAGAATGGCTCAAAAATCATCAAGGTGTCAAAAGTTTCTATTTTTGGACAGCTGAAAAGTCAACTGTAACTTGACCAAGGCATAACTTTTTCATGGTTCATCAGAAAAATCCCATCCAATTCTCATTTTGAAGGGGAGGACATTTCCTACAATTCATCTTCACATTCCAAGTCCAAGAAATGCTCTCACAAAAAGTTATCAATTTCAACATTATAGGTCATTTTCAAAAGTCAACAAAAAGACATTTTAAGTCAAAGACCATAACTTGAGATTGGTAACTCAAAATGACATGGGAACAAAGGCATTGGTTAGAGGACTTCAAGACCTTTCCAAAATGTCCAAGAACATGTTCATATGATCAAAATTGAGCAAGATATGCATTGGAGAAGTTGGGAAATTTTTGTGAAATGGCCAAAGTCAACTATCCTTGAAACTTCATTCTTTGACAAAAAGGGCCCACTTTTTCCACTTGATTCAGCTTTGCCATTCCTCCCACGTGTCCCATGATTTATTTCAAGATTAAAAATTAATTTTTTTATTTTTATTTAATTTTATTTGATTTAATTCATTTTAAATCTTTAAAATTCAAATAAAAATCAAGAAAATTAATTAAGGGATATCTTTTGGTTTGAATAACTTTGATACACCATAATTCACATGCCAATTTCGTGTACACCCTATTTCAAGCATAAAAATTCAAATTTGGAGCAAAAATGGCAAGTTGTTTAATGGTGGTCATGGCAAAATCTCAAACATAATTGCAAGGGTTAAAGGTGCATTATATTGTTTGATTCTCATTCACTAACATATATGAAGCCTCTCATACAGTATACACAAGCTAGAGACACCTAGAACGGCAACCCTAATTCTCTCAAATTTTCCACAAAATTGACAAATTCGGATTCATTTTTTTAGCAAGTTTCAAGGAGTTTTAAGGATTCAATCGTGTTCCTGGGCATAGCAGCAAGCATTCCCAACCCTTACACGAAGCCAAATAATCCCAGATCGTGCTCCCTAATTCTCATTGGTTTGTTAAAATTCTTGAATTCGTTTTTCATATTTCATGCGTCATTATTTGTTTTTGATGGTTCGTGTGAACTCAGGACACTTATTAGAATGCATTTGATGCATAGCATGCAAGCTCTAACGCAGGAACAAGGACCTGCCATTTCTAGGGCCGTTTTGGTTATCTTCTTCGAAGCTCCCTGTACATTCATTTTCAGGCCAAAACAATGGCACCATTGAATCCGCAGGGATCGAATTAGGGTGACTAGGTCTTTCTTTTGCTTTGATTTTTCCTATTTTGCAGGATCGGCCATGGTGCTCGCCGGAGAAGACGACCGGAGCTAGGGCTCCGGCGTCGTTGACTGGTGTAGACTCAGGTGTGGCTGGCGTGGCACGATAGTGCATTCTGATTTGTTCCCACGTTACACTTGGGCCCCACGCGTGTTGACTGTGTTTAAAATTCAAACATGCCACGCTTTCATTTCTAACCAATTGCTTGTAGAGTATAGACACCAAAGACAGCTGGCTCAGTTGGCAACGTGTTGGTTGATTTCTCCAGAGGGCATGAGTTCGATTCTTGGCCCTGACATTTTCTCTTTACTATTTTTCATAATTAACATGCTTTCTATATTTTCTATTTTTTTTTATATTTTCATCCTAATTTAGTTTATCTTCAAATAATTTTCTCATGCATTTAAAAAATCACAAAATATTTTCCTTTTTCATTTTAATCAGAAAAATGTTTATTTAATTTTTGACATTAAAATTAATATTTTTGCATGCATATTTTAATTAATTGTTAAATAATCATTAAATTGACTTTTAATTGCTTTTAATTATCAAAATTGATCCAAAAAATTACCAAAAAATTATTCTATCATTAAATTAACAAAACTAACTTTTTTTCATAAAAAAATCAAAAGAGAACTAATATTAGTATTATTATTAATTTCATTTTATTGTTGTACATAAATACTAATAAATTGATTTAAGTTTAATTAGGCAACTTTAATTAATTTTTCTTAATAACTAAAATAATTTAGAATTAGGTTAACTTAGAATTTTAATTCTTTTATTTTATTTCATAAAAAACACAAAAAATATTTTCTTTTAATTAATTAATTAGTTTAATTATTAGTTATTAATTTCATTTAATCACAAAAAAGACAAAAAAAATCAATTTCTTTTCTTAAAAGGGTCAAAACCCTTAAGGCATTCCCGATTAAATTTTATTCGCGCGCATTTTATTTTGATTATTATGTAATTGCTTCCAAGAATGTAATAGTAATTAGGCTTACCGCTTTATTTAATTTCTCACATTCTTATTTCAAAACGGGTTTTTGTTTTTTGGCGATGTATAGACCCGCGCCTTGTAATAGCTAGATTTACATTTCTGCAATTTATTTTCCGCACTCCTAACTGTTAAAAAATGCATGAAAGAATGTATGAAAAATAAAACCAATCCGTAGCTCACAAATAACATGTACAAGATAAATATAACATGAAAACAACACACAAGCACATGCCACTCCTAGGGTACGCCTCGCTGGTTGCCTCGAACGTGGTCATCAAGTATAGGGTGTCTTAGAGGTCTCCCTTCTGTCTAAAGATCCAGTTGCCTCAAAACGGTTGCCTCGGATAAAAGGATTTAGGACATTAGGGTTGCCACTAAGATGTCCTACCATTGCTTCGGTGACCACACTGTCCCTAATAATCGAATTGACCCGAATAACTCCAACGATGGTGCTACCTACCTCTCAATGGTGGGATAACACTATCTAAAGGACTCTTACACAGCCTAATTCCTTAGAGTAGGTAGATTCTCCTGGGTACTTGCTCTCTCAAAACAAACAAACAAAAATACTTTTCACACCTCACACTTTCTAAAAGTTTTCAAACAAATTTTTCATACACTCTTGAGGACATATACAAGAGTTACTTAGAAATATTTCGAACGAAACTTTTTCAAAACCCACAAACACAAGAAAAGCAAAACTTTTTTTGAAAACATAAGAGCAAGTTCCTAAGAGCCCGTGGATAACCACAGATAGAAAGGGTGCTAACACCTTCCCTTTCTATAAATCTACCTCCCGAACCGAGAAACATTCTCAAAGAAGGAATTTTGCTGTGCTTTTGTCCTTTCCATATTGGAGAACATAAAAGACGGTGGCGACTCTTACTTACCGCGATATTTCGCGAAACCATCTAAAAAACAGTCAGTTCTATTTCCACCGATCACACTAGCCAATGTGGACAATGCTAATGCACTATATGCAAAATTGATTGAAGAATTTGAAAGATGCATCCTCAGTTATTTTGCTTTTCATTGGAACCGAGCTTCATTTATCATTACCCAGGTACATAATTCTTTAATAAAAAAAACCAATTACACATGTTTTCAGTCATATCTCACTATACTTTTGGTAACAAAAATTTCACCTCACTATTATAACACTTTGTTATGACGATTTCTAAAATATCTCTACAGATATTTATGAGATGGTGATATTTAATTAGATGTAAGTGTAACTTCTTAATTAAGAAATAATTTTATAGTTTGGGAAATATATTAACTATTAAGTTGATACATGCTTTTGTTTATTTGACATAGATAATTGTATGTTAATATATTGATGTTTTAATCGTCTTAATCATAGGTATTAAGTTCTCAGTCCCAACCCAAAATAAATCTCAAAAATATTCTTTTGGAAGCCACAAGGTAAATTTATATCTAATTTTGAGTTTAATTTTGGTGCAATGTTTTTTTTAATAACAAACAGAGCCTAAGACCGAATTTTAATGTAATGTTAGTGTGTGAATATTTTTACACGGAAAATCAATTATAGTAATCCATATCCGGGATTTTTTAAGTAATTATAATCCATGCCAAACAAAGTTTGATCTATTGATTATTAGACTAATAATGTAAATTTCTGTTACACGTGCATACAAATTAATAATCCACTCATAATTTTGCTTTAAAATAACCTTTCAAAAATATGGACTAATTTAAATGTCTTATGCTATGTTTATAGGGAACATAGGTTTGAGATAATAACAAAGAAACTAAAGGTGGCCAGAGTGTTCTCTATATTGGTTGAAGAGATTAAAGCAATAAAGGGTGACTCGCAAAGTTGTGATGACAAGGTCTCCATTGTCCAGAGTGAGAGGAGTCCAGTGTTGCTGCTTATGGGTGGAGGCATGGGATCTGGAAAAAGCATTGTTCTTAAAGACATTCTTAGAGAGTAAGTATCACCTTAACTCTACTTCTTCCATATATTAATTAGATCATTGTTCAATTCTAATTGTTGCAAATGTTATGAACCATGTGTATCCAAAATAAGGAAAAAAAACGATCTTATGAGTTATGACATGTGTTAAATTTTGTCACCCTTCACCTTTTTTCCTTGTTTTTCCCCTAATTAAATGGTTTTGGCAGATCATTTTGGTCAGAAGCTGCATCCAATGTTGTGGTTGTTGAAGCAGATGCTTTTAAGGAGAGTGATGTCATTTATAGAGCTCTTAAATCTACGGGCCACCATGATGAAATGCTTCAAAGTGCTGAACTGGTATGCTTCTATTGTCCAAAACTTTCATGTTACTATTTTCAGAGTATTTCCTAATTAGCTTGTCATCAAAATCTAAACAGGTGCATCAGACTTCGACTGATGCTGCATCATCTCTACTAGTGACAACTTTAAATAAAGGGCGAAATGTGATCATGGATAGTACCTTAGCATGGGAACCTTTCCTAGAGAAAACTATTGCTATGGCAAGAAATGTTCACAAAAATCGCTGTCTAAGGTAAACATATGACAGCGCTTTTCCAGGAAAAAGCGCTGCTAAAAGACCACCTATGAAAGCGCTTTTCCAAAAAAAAGCGTTGCTAAAAGCCTACCTAAGACAGCGCTTTTCCAGAAAAAAGCGCTGCTAAAAGAAAACTTATAAGAGCGTTTTTCCAGAAAAAAGCGCTGCCTTAGGTAGACCTATGAAAGCGCTTCTTCATAAAAAAGCGCTGCCAAAAGCCTACTTAAGAGAGCGCTTTTTAGAAAAAGTGTTGTATTAGGTAGACCTACGAAAGCGCTTTTCATTAAACAAAAAGCGCTGCTAAAACCTATAGCAGCGCCACCTACGAAAGCGCTTTTAAGCGCTTTTAAAGGCCAAAAAAGCGCTTTCGTAAGTCTTTTTCGGCGTAGTGAGTCGAGTCTGAACCCATTCGTATTCATTCAAACCTACATCCTTCATGATTCTCAAGGAAGGGATCTGGACTTCTATGGGTAGGACTGCTTCCATACCGTATACCAAAGAGAAAGTAGTTTCCCCTGTTGATGTTCGCACCATGGTACGGTAACCATGAAGAGAAAATGGTAACATCTCATGCCCGTCTTTATATGTCACCATCATCATCTGTATGATCTTTTTGATATTTTTATTAGCAGCTTCTACAACACCATTCATCTCCGGCCGGTAAGGAGAAAAGTTATGATGCTGGATCTTGAATCGCGTGCAGAGCTCGGTGATCATAGTGTTATTTAGATTGTTACCATTATCCGTAATGATTCTTTCTGGAATACTGTACCAACAAATGAGGTTATGTCTGATGAATCGGGCCACAGTGTTCTTGGTAACAGAAGCAAATGAGGCCGCCTCGACCCATTTTGTGAAGTAATCAATGGCAACTAGAATGAAGCGGTGTCCATTAGAAGATGTAGGTCTAATCTCTCCAATCATATCAATGCCCCACATTGTGAATGGCCAGGGAGCAGTTAATATGTTTAGAGGAACCAGAGGCACATGTACTTTATCAGCATAGATCTAGCATTTGTGGCAAGTTCGCGAGTGCAGATAACAGTCTGCTTCCATAGTGGACCAATAATATCCTTCCCGTAGGATCTTTTTAGCCATCGTATGCCCACTAGAATGGGTGCCAAAGGTACCTTCATGCAAATCAACCATAATATTTTCTACCTCACTCTTGTCTACACACCGAAGCAAAGTAGAATCATGGTTGCACTTGTAGAGGATTCCGTTACTGAGGAAGAACTTGGAAGAAAACCTTCTTATGAACTTCTTATCAATGACTGAAGCTCCCTCAGGATACTCTTGGGCTTCGAGATATCTTTTGACTTCATGGAACCAAGGTTTGTCCACTACTTCTTCGGTATCAATCTCATGCCAGTATGTCGATTCTTCCATTCTCTCAATACTGATTTGAGGAGCTTCATTATCCCACCTGACCTTGAACATGGATGACATAGTACCTAGCACGTCCGCTAGTTGATTTTCCTCTCGTGGAAAATGCTCGAAGGTAACTTCTTCAAAGTGTGGAATCAGTGTCAAGACATGCTCTCTGTAAGGGATGATATTAGGATGCTTCGTGTCCCATTCTCCTTTGATTTGACTGATTACTAAGGCCGAGTCTCCAAATACACTCAAGAACTTGATCCTCAAGTCGATAGCATCTTTGAGCCCCATAATGCACGCTTCTTATTCAGCCATATTGTTGGTATAATTGAAACATAATCTGGCAGTGAAAGGAGTATGACAGCCTTTAGGAGATACAATCACAACACCGATGCCATTGCCAAGAGCGTTGGAAACTCCTTCAAAAACCATAGTCCATCGGGATCCTTTTTGAGGTCCTTCACCTGGTCCAGGTTCTTCACAATCAAGTACTAACATGATGTCCTCATCCAGGAACTCAAAATTCATGGATTGGTAGTCATCCACAACCCGATGAGCTAAATAATCAGCTAATACACTTCCCTAAATTTATTTCTGGGTTGTATACTGAATGTCGTATTCGGTCAGGATCATTTGCCATCTTTCTATTCTTCCGGAGAGAGCAGGCTTCTCAAAGATGTATTTGATAAGATTCATTTTAGATATCAACAAGGTAGTGTGAGTCAACATATATTGTCTTAGTCGGTGAGCATCTCATGCTAAAGCGAAGCAAGTTTTCTCGAGCAGTGAGTATCTTGTTTCACAGTCGGTAAACTTTTTGCTAAGGTAGTATATTGCATGCTCTTTTTGACCAGACTCGTCATGCTGCCCCATCACACACCCTAATTGAGTTCTCTAACACTGTTAAGTACATGATAGAGGTCTTCCTTCAACTGGCGGCATCAAAATTGGAGGCTCCTGAAGATATTCCTTGATTTTGTCAAAGGAATTCTGGAAATTGTCATTCCACTTCACTGCTTGATCCTTCTTCAGTAATTTGAAGATTGGCTCACAAGTAGCGGTTAGGTGGGAAATGAATCTGGCAATGTAGTTCAGGCGTCCCAAGAATCCCTTGACCTCCTTCTTAGTGCGAGGAGTTGGCATTTCTTGTATAGCTTTAACCTTTGCATGTTCTACTTCAATACCTTTGCCGCTGACAACGAATCCTAAGAGCTTACCAGATCTTACTCCAAAGGTGCACTTATTCGGGTTCAGCCTCAATTTGTACTTCTTCAGCCTTTCAAACAACTTCTGTAGATGATCAAGGTGCTCCTCTTCAATCTGAGACCTGGCTATCATATCATCAGCGTAGACCTCTATCTCATGATGGATCATATCGTGAAACAAAGCTACCATGGCGCGCTGATAGGTTGCCCCGACGTTCTTTAGCCCAAATGGCATAACTTTGTAACAGAAAGTGCCCCACTATGTGATGAAGGTCGTTTTCTCCATGTCCTCAAGTGCCATTTTGATCTGATTATATCCAGAGAAACCATCCATGAAGGAGAATACCTTATGTTGTGCGGTGTTGTCAACCAAAACATCAATATGGGTAAGCGGAAAGTCATCCTTGGGGCTTGCCCTATTCAGGTCTCGGTAATCCACACACATACGTACCTTACCATCCTTCTTAGGTACTGGAACAACATTGGCAACCTATTATGGATAAGAGGTGACAACTAAGAAACTGGCATTGAACTGTTTCATGACTTCAGCCTTGATCTTTTTTGACATCTCTGGCCACATATGACGAACCTTCTATTTCACGGGAGGGAAGTCTTCTTTTGTCAGAAGGTGATGAACCACAATATCAGTGTCAAGTCCTGGGCATGTCTTCGTATGACCAGAAAAATACCTCAACATAGTCATGTAGCATCTGTATTAACCACTCTTTGACACTATGCTCTAGATCGGCACCTATCTTGACTTCCTTCTTATCCTCTTCAGTACCCAAGTTAATTGTCTCAACCGGCTCTTCATGAGGCTGTAATGCCCTTTCTTCCTGTTGTAGCAGTCTGACAAGTTCCCCTGGTACTTCATAATCTTCCTCACCTTCGTCCTCGGCTTGGTAGATCGTATTTTCAAAGTCATAATTGGAAATAGCAGAACCGTTACCAATGGGATCTAGAGTGGATATGGATCTGCAGTTTGATATGTGGGTGTGTGTAAGAGCATAGCTGTTTTTTGATAAAGTAAAAAAAAAGTAGAAAAGAAAAAACAGAGAGCGTAAAATTGTATGCAAAACGTCCAATTATTTATTAATGACACATGAATATGAAGCAATAACCATCACAAATAAACCATTGACATCCACAAGCTGGTCAGGATTTGGGAACAAGACCAACCCATAAATGAGGAGTGCCACAATTTCTTCAAAGGCTTGTAGGTCCAATGAATTCCAACACTCTTGTGCCTTCTCAAACAAGAATTTTGCCAAGAAGCCTTTGACACCGCTTCTAGTTTCCCAATGCCCCTTGATATCAGATGGTTGCAAGTTTAGTGCTTGAGCAACATCTTCAGGCTTTGGTTCTTTTTCCGTACCGTTGTAGGGTAGTTGATGAAGAATAGGAATTCTCAGGAGTTGAGAAAATTCCTCCAAAGTGGGCACCAATTGGTAGTCGGGGAAAGTGAAACAGTGGTGAAGGGGGTCAAAGAACTGAAACAACACCTTTACCATGTCCTCTTCAATGCTGGTGCTGACTAGGCTGAGCAGTCTACCATGTCTTTCACTGAAGGGAGAGCTTTCAGGAATTCTGGATGTGAGCTCCTTGAGTTGAGGAGGGATTCTCACAAGGTTGACTTGGATAGTTTTCCTGCGAAGAATTTCCATGACCTACAAAACAAGAACAAAGATGAAGATCCAAACCCTTGAAATGGTTAGTGAATGCATATGATGCTTTATGATGCTCATGATGTATGCACAAACATATGTACAAGCAATTCACAGAAAACCCTAGTTTCAGGCTTGCATGGGGTTTCATAGGTAAGTACCCTCTTGAGTGAAGTTGGCTTAAAAACCTGTCTTATAAATAGTAATCGGGCTCTAAGGAGCTCAATATCATTGGATTGTTTTCCATGTTCATTATTTTGGTTTAGCCACTTAACTAGCGACCAAAATATTCCAAGAAAACAACCCTCAATGAGTGTAGTATCGAGTATCTACCAACTTCGGACTGCACCAAAGCCGGTCATCTCACTACCCCTAATGAAAGGCCAAGATGGTCAAGTAAGGTTCTAGGTCATTAGTGCTTAGTGACATCACTCAGCGGCCCCGTACTCTCCTTGATTGAACTCAAGGGTTACCGGTACTCACAAATATGTCGCACTAATATAGCTATTGCTTCAACCGTGTCAGTATACCCCGCACAGTTTCCACAATGTATTGCTATCTATGAATGTTTCCCCAAATCCGGGTGTAGGATTTCAAGCCCAAACAAGAGAACCAAGATATAAAGCAATCAAAGCAAACAATTAGTCATGCAAGAGGGTGATCTAAGCCCTAAGGTTACTCCACTTTAAAATTTTCCCCAGCAGAGTCGCCAGTTCTGTGATACGGTGGGAGAACTGACTTGGGTTTTGCGTTTG